AATTTTTGTTGCGTGATAATGTGTGAATGCCGATACCTTTGTGAAGGTTTATACATACCACATATTTGCACGTTGCCAGTTCGCCAGAATAATTAGAAAATTTACTTATTGGCATTTATTGGCAATTTAATAGAAGTAATTATTATTCAACAATTACTATAGTACATATTTTTTTTGCGTTGAAAACTTTAAAAGGGATGGGTAAAGTTTGATGTATCTACATACATACATTCATACACATATGTATGTACATACATTTGTTCACTAGACTGTCCACCTTACAAGCAAAAAAAAAAACAAAAGGTCGCCGTACATCACTAAGTCTTAAAAAAAGTGCAAAGCAATTTCGAAAAAAATCATTTTTTTTTTTTGTGTTTAAACTAGGGACTGCTTCTCAATATTTGTTAGTGATACCTATGTAACTGTGTACATTCGGTAACATTTTTTTTTTTTAATCTGACCTATACGTAAAATAAAAAAAATTTTTTTTCAAAGTTAGGTAATATTTATAAGTCATACTTTAAGATCTTTCATGCCAAAGGTGGGATGAAAAGTGTAAAAAGTCGATCCTTACGTTCGGCAAAGTTTAATGATTTTTGATGAACTTTCATTGAACTTTGGAATGAAAACAATTTTATCATCGAGATGACAACTTCGATATGCATATGTGTAACATACTTTAAGATCCGAATGCAAATGCAGAATTTGACGAAAATTTTAAAAAGGAAATTGGCTTGGGGTGTACGTTGCGGTCTAATGTACATACGTACATATTACATGCATGTGTTTAAATACCTATCTAGCTAAATTGAGTCATATTACGATTTTACGGAATAGTCTCAAGCTAGTGGCACTGAATACCAAATTTGAGTTTCTTCCAGGGCCGCAACCAAGCTATGCGCCAACATTTCGATACAGGCCTAGCACTCAATTTTCAAGAGCTTATTGCTCCACCTTACCATCATATTTTACAATGGGCTAAGTTCATAATTTTTTTGATAAAAAATTCATGCATTCTATTTACTTATAAACCGACTTAATTTATAACTTTTGTTTCATCGAACACCTATAGCAAATTTTAGCAAAAAAAAGTTCATTAAACATTATGACCTGCAAACTGCTACCAGAATAACCAAAACGTTTATTTTGGACCCTTAAAGAATGGCTTGTAAAGGTTAAATATATTCTATAGGTGCTAAACAAAGGATTTTATAAGGGATCATAGAGTATGAGAATCTATGACTTAAAAGTTGAATCGTGAATGTATAACTTTCCATCTAAGATAATTGAAATTTAGTGTAAGGTATTGAAACTTTAATCCTCGGTATAAACAGGATGTGCTGAGGTTGAATAAAATTGTCTAGCAGTACGATTCTGCAATTAAATCGATTATTTCTTACCACTTATCTATAATTTGGTTTTTAGAAATAGCAAAGTCCTTCGCCATTTGGTATTTCCATCGGAGTGGGGACTTCCCTCTTCCCCTGCTACCACCAGCGGGTTCCGAGTTGGAAACTTTGAAAGCTGGTGCATTTTGATCCATTCGAACGGCATGGCCACGCCAGCGGAGCCGCTGTATTTAAATTCTCTGCTAGGCAATGTTGAGTGCCTTACAGAGTGTGGTTTTCGTACGTCGAGGTAGGACTTTACTTCCCAATTGCCTACTCAGTCCAAAGTAGCACTTATTGACAAGAGTGATTGTGCGTTGGATTTCGATGCTCACATTATTATCGGGGTTCATTCTGGTTCCAAGCAGTGTTGGCACTAATCGATCGATGTTTTAATCAATTAGTTAATTCGATTAAATTCAATCCGATTACAGTTAATCATGATTAATTTTAATCTGATTAAACAGTTAATCGTAACCGCGATTAAAAAAATTAATTTTTAATCATTAACCCTTAATTTGTTTAAGTAAGTTTGGTGATTAATTAATTTATGCTGGAATTTTACTGTGCACACAAGGCCAGTTAACCGGGTATGGCAAAGTCGGTTTTCCTCATGAATCTAAGCAATTTGGTGTGCATTTTCATTAAGATACTTTATCCTCGACAACGTCAAATCACTTCGTTGACGATGGGCTTCAGTCTTTCACACAATACACTCGATAAGACCTTGTAACCTATGCTTAGAAGGCTGACCAGTTAAATTCTAGTCGTCAAGCATGCGTTCACCTGGCTACCTTGCCGGCCGCGCATATTTGAATAGCTCATCTGGCAGGGTGTCAGCTCTAGCTCCTTTGTTGTTTCTCAGACATACTCAGGCGGTGGAACATTGACTCCACAACTTTCAGTGCTGCTACAATTCAGTCATTTTTACCAGACTGAAAATTGAGGACCGAGTAAAAGGTCGAAATGGGGTATGCACCCTCCTAATAGGGTACAGCTGGCAACCCTAGCGTTGAGTAGGAAAAAATTTTTTTGTTTTTTCATTAATTTAAATAATACCCCGGTCACATCCGATGATACATTTTGGATATTGTTATTCAGGATATTAGTATTTTTTTCTAGGGCTGTTAATTTTTAGGTGCCAGATTGACTAGCAGTCTCGCTGTAGTGACCCAGACTTTGATTTTGGCATAGGCTGTTTAACCATCTCAAAAATTTTTTTATTGGTTGACATTTTTTTATACGATATTACAAATCATTTACTCTTATCGCATCACTTTCCACGAACTACCTGAGAAGCCCAATATTGCCTGCTAAGAAAAAGTATGACGTAAGATCAAAAAACAGCGAATCTACCGCAAATCATTAATACAACCTACATATATACATATATTGTTCTTCACAGATATTCTTTAGAGAATAAAATGTGTAACAGGCATGCTTCCTCTCCCCGAGAGCGCACCACTTAACTACGTCGCTTGATAACAGCGTGGAAGTGTTTGTTTTGCATTTTAACGTTAAATTTAGAAATATTCGTAACTTATGTACATAAAAAAGCAAACGCAAAAATCACTGATGGAAAGCAAACTAAAAAAAGTTTTACAAAACGCTTACTAATTTAATAACGGAAAAACAACACTTGAAATTTACTTTACTCTAGCGTTATTCAAGCGATTAAAGATATAGAAATAAATGTGTAGAAGTGATTTATATAGATTGCTTTAATGTTATATATGTTTGTAAGTTTTATTGGAGATATGCCTTGTAGGTAAATAAAGAAGTTTTAATTTATTTGGGTAATCGATAAAAAGACTGTTCATAGGAATGATTACAGATATGCATTATAAATATTTTGTTTGATTTTTTGGTGACAGGTAACATGATCAACGGAAATAAGGTCAATTGACTTTATTTCCCACCCTGGTGCGAAATAAAGTCAATTGACATTATTACCTTTTCAAAAGCGAAATAAAGTCAACAAAAATTTGGAAATAAAGTCATTGACGTTATTTCCTCATTCAAATGGAAATAGCGGCAACAATGCTTAAAGTATGTCGATTCATAGAAAAAATGTTGTTCTTACAATAAACATTGCCTCGTAAGTGTTGTTTTTTAATAGATGAAAAAGGTTATTACCAAATCCTCATTGTTGTGATATTAATCCACACACAATCATGCACTACCACCAATTGATTTTATTAAAAAAAATTTAATTACGAATATGTAAAACACGATGCGAGAAACTAAACGCCTGCACACAGCTGGAATACGAGAAATATAAGATGAGTATAGAAATGATCCATAACTTGCAAAACATGTTTCGTTTCCACAAAAATGAAGCGAACACTATTAAATTGAAGAAACAGTCCATGTCCAAAACCCTCGGAGGAACACTGAAAAAATTCTGTGTTTTAAATTAGCATATTTGGAACGAATTCGGAATGTCTAAGGTGGAAAAGAAACCAACCTTTCTATAAAAATACGGCTCTTAGCCCATATAGGCCCGACGAATTTTTTTCCCGAATATCTTGATGAAATCTTCATGCTAGGGTAAAATTGAGAAATTAAACTTGAATTTGGGGTCAAAAAAATTTTGCGATTATTAGTTTTCGAGATATAAGAGGGCCGCTCAAGTCAGCAGGAGTCTACCTACCCTCACTCTTCCGGTCATTTTTGAACAAAATTAATCGAATATTACCCACTATGTGTAGGTTCATTTAACTTTCCTTATCACATAAGTACATACTTATTTATATTATTTAAAATTCATTTGAAATCCTTTTTATTTCTACTTAGCTATGGATATCGCGACCCACGGTATCCGCGTTACAAATTTGAAAACATTCGTATGGGCGGAATTGCGACTGAGTGTTTAGTCCCGCGCCCATCTCTACTTCATATCTACAATTGACACACTTTATTATTTTCGAAAGAATATAGAAGTAGACTATGGGTATACCGATGTAGTGTAGTAAGTTTAAATTTTTTAGCGAAAATCGTAGTTAATCTACTACGATCGTGGTAAAGTTCTAACCCTGATAACTAGTTTACAATGGTCCTACAGGGCATTTTTTATAATCTGGCACACATATACATGCGCTTACCATCGCTAACGGCTTATGAGTTTCAATGATTGAAGGCTTGGTGTTGGCCATGTTTACAAGCTATTTAAATTATTAAATTATTGTTTGGCAAGTGATTACGTAGGTACCTATCTATGAAGCAGAACTTGTTATTTTATTTTATTTTTTAAGTTTATAGTGTCTTTCTTAGTGACGTGGCGAACGGAGCACGCATAAGAAGCAAAGCGAACGGCGGAAATGTGAATTTCGAAGAGTCATAAGGAAAATGTGGTTTAGTGTAATTAGAATAGCATGAAACTTATAAAGAAAAAGTTAGAATTAAAAAATACTATAAAGTTCATAAATATCTAATTCAATGAAGTGCTGAAAGGTAGTCTTACTGACGGTGAATACATATATGCAGATATATGTGTGTAGTGGAAAGTGGAAAAAAGTAAATAAGCGATGATGAAATAAAAATTGAAGCAGCTAAAAAAAGTAAAAAAAAGTTTTTCAGAAGTTTTAGAAGAGTTTTAGTGTTCTGCGTGAAATTTTTCAACAGGAAATTGTGATTAATAAAATTGTAGAATACTTAAAAATCTACGCAACTAACATTGCTTCACAACTTGCAAACACATCAGATCTTCTCGGATTTTTTTCTTCGAAAATGCATAAATGTTTCGTAAAGATCACAAATGTTTTTCGCCACAAATCCACATATGCACCACCAGCAAGTGAACCTATCAATGCTGCCTCCGTAGTGGGGGCGCACGTCCGTCATAGAAGTGCGTCTGCAGACGATAATGATGGAGGTCGACGCAGTCGAGAGGGAAGCGCGGACAACGCTGGTAACAACGAAATCAGCACACGAAATGCCGACGTCAAAGCCAGTCGGCGTCTCAACAATGTTGCGCGCGATAAGCTAAAGGAGTGCAACAAAGATAAGAGCACTGATAATGGCGATAAAGCAAACACTATTGCGCCAAATGAGCGAAGAATGCTTAAAGCAAAACGAGAGAATGAGGGCGAAGAGCAGAAGAAAACGAAATCTAAATATTTCATGCGCAGTGCAACGTCGCCAAGTCTAGGCAGGGGCAGTTGTGAACCAGGGATGATGAGCACCAGCGATATGAGTGATGTTGTTGTCTATCGAAGCAGCTACGAAGGCGGCGGCACTGTTGATAAGCGAATAAGTTCGCGTAGCAGCGCGCGCAGTAGTGGCATATTTCGGCTATTTTTGGGTAGCAGTAAGAAGAAGAAAAGTGAGCGAGTGAAGAACAATGAAAAAGAAAGAGAAAGGGAAAAGGAAAAAGAAAAGGGAAAGGATAAGGATAAGAAAAAAGCAAAGAAAAAGCGAGCGCCACTGGCGGTAATGGAACCACAGCAGTTGGGCATCGAAGAAGATGAGCTAAAAGCGTTGTTGAAAGTCAATGACTACTCAGACGAAGCGCCAATGGCAACACCGGAAATACGTAACGCCATTAACGTAAGCGAAATAAAAACCAACTCTAATCATGAAAAATCGCAACTGTCGGACAAGGCACTTGATATAAGTGCTTGCGATAAACTGACGCCTCGTTGTAGGACAGCAGCCAGCAGTGATAATAATACGGCTCGTTATCACGCAAGCGGAAGTGCGGACGATACGCTCGCGCCCGCGATGGACACAGCTAAAACCATTGCGTCGCACGATGAACGCAGCTACATATCCGAATACAAATCTTTTGTCGAGGATGAAAAGCCAAATTTAATTGGGACGCCGTTCCCTGAAACGGAAGCTTTCAATTTCGAGCAAGTACTTAATCGCTCAGCAAGCATGCGTCACTCCAGCGATGTGGCAAGGAAGCTTGCGCCTGACGTGCGCGTTGAGTTGCCATGCCGCACCAATGTCAGCGATGATTGCTTGGCACGCACACGAGCATTAACACCAAAAACCCCCGAAGAAATCGAGTATGAAGCCAATGTTGCAGCGGAAAGCGCCGACGTTATGACACCACTACCACAAAATCTCACCTTTCACTCTGCTCGCAAGTCCCTCAGCACTGGGCGCACGCTTGCCTCAGAAATCGCCGACATGATACGCAATTTGGATGCAAACACTTTACGTATTAACAATATGACCGTTGAGGAGAAGATGGAGCTGATGCGACGTTTCGAGCAGCAGCCACCTGAGCAGCAAGAAAAACAGTCACAGTGCTTAACTCATCATCCACATCATCAAAATCATCACGCGCACAACACGTCACAACATCAGCACAACTTACTGCGGCGCAGCTCATCCGGTTCGCGGAACTTTAATCCCATGCGTTTAGCGGTGGAGAATCGCATCGCACTGCAGGCTACGCAACAGCTGCATGGAAGTGGTGGTGGCGACGGCGACGGCGGTGGTGCTGACGAGTCTGCGTGCGATTCAGATGGTGAAAATGTGGAAGTGGTATTGCGTCGGAAATTCGTTGACTATCCCCGCGGTGCAAAGGTGACAATGTCTACGTGCCTGTATGAACGTCGGCTGCCAAAGAGTCCGAAACTGAAATTGCTGGTGCAATCACAACATAACGACAGCCGAGATGAAGGAAGCGAAGAGGTAGGCTATATTGGAATAAGCATATAATGCTTTCGACTAGTTTTTTTTTTTTCATTCTTCATTCATTAAACTTATTCTTCTTCAAGTTCAGAGGGAAAGGAAAAGTTGTAGCTTTTGGTTAATACTTTTATAAGATAAGGAAGGAAATATTTTCCTGATATTTTTTAGCAAAAAGCATCCATAATTTTTTTGTTTTAATTTTTTTTGACATTAAGAATAATTGAAGTCAAAACATAAATATATCCGAATTTTCCTTAAACACGGAACATCATGAAAATCCCCTAAAAGTCCCGAAAATACTCCGAAATACCTCGTGGGAATCTTTCGGTACTTTTCGAGAGTTTTGAAAGATAAAATCATAAGAAGCTCTCGAAAAGTATCCAAAAACTCGAAAAATCACAAATTATTTAATTTGTTGTTAAAGGAGCTCTCGCCTCAGTTCGCTTAGAGGTAGTCCACTGTCCGACGACAGAGCTGTTTATGATCCGCTATCTTTTGGTGTTCTGCCCTCGTTTTTAGCTCTCAGCAGTGCGATCGCGTACTCTGACGACTTGTCCGTGTTGTCATCTTCTTTCAAGGTGCACATGGCTGTGCCTTTTCACTACTCAAGCTTACCTGCTTTGCTTGTTATATTCTTGTTATTGTGCATATTCTGCGATGACACCGATTCGGTGTTAAGCACTTTCTCTACCGGTCTGCTGCTGGTCGGTTGTGATGTCATCGAGTCCATTTGGAGTCCGGTATCTGCACAGGTGGTAGTTTTCCGCTTCTCTACTTTTCAGCGGGCGCAGTTTTCTTATCTCTAGTCTTCCTGGTTATCTGTTCATCACGGACGTGGTTGACCGCCCTGTAGTTTTCCCGGACCTCCCTTTTTCAATGGGCGCGGTTTCATATGCCAGTACAACTTCTTTCCTCCTTTACCTTTTGCTTATATTCCCAGTTTTTCGGGTGTATCCCGTCTTCCCCGCTTTGATCATCGATTTTCCGCCTCTCCGCAAATCAGAAGATTCTATAACGATATGACGCTCTTCCTGCGGTTCATCGTTTGCTTACGCAGACTCCAGCGTGCTCTACGTTTGTTATTTTGCCATTGCCTAGGTGCTACACCACTGAGCCCATGTCGCTGGTGATAATCTACCGCCACTGGTGTTTCCGGCGGTTTGCATAGACGGCGATTTTTGATCGGGCTTCTGTAGCTACATAAACTCTGCAAATCTCGATGTGGAGCTGCCGGCTGTGCACCGCCTTCGATGGTCAAATGCGGTTCAAATTTCATAAATCCTCGTTATGTCAGCTGTTCCTTTGTTGTTGTTGTTGCTGTCGTTGCTATTGCTGCTGCTTATCTGCTTCTTACGACCACCTGCTCGACGAGGCTAGCGCAGTGGTATTAGATTTAAATGAGCGATCTCAGTCTTCGACCGCAGTTGAGCCCAGAGCCGAGGCAAGACGTCAGTTAGTCCCCATGGTGCACAGTGGGCCTTTTGAACACGTCATGCGAATTAATCGTAGCGCTTTCGACAAAAGCAAACATTTGGATATGAAACAAAATGCTTTGAAAGCTAATGCGATTCCCTTTCACAGAAAAATATTGGCATTGAGCTACAATTACTCCTTGACCTTAAGAAAAGTGGTCAAAAATATTGTTCTTCGAAAAAAACATGCACAATCCAGCGCATTTGTTCCAAAAAAAAATTTGTCTACGTTTTATTATACTAATAATATAGACGTGTTTCTCGTGACGTGGTTCCACTGTTTAAAATACGAAAAAAGTTTTACCCCTCAATTTGAAAAATGCATTTTATATTGCATTTTTTATGATTTACATGCAGCGATGCATCCTTCACACAGTTTTATATCTCTCGAAAAACAAGTACGTTTTAGTGCTATTCAAGAACTTTAATTTCAGCAAAGTAGAAAAGTCTCTGGCCCTTTGAGAGCCAAATTATAACGATTCTGAATTTAAACTTCGAAATTTCATTCGACATTTTTGCGCATTTTTCTTCTAATTTCAGAGTAAGAACTCGTACAGCAGATTCGAAGTTTGGTTTAAAATTGTTATAACTTGGCTCCCAGAGGGCCTAAAAATTTCTAAATACCATGCCTCATGCAGCTGCATTTAAATAGAAAAGCATGCCATAAAAACTGCATTATTAAAATTGAGGTGTTAAAATTTTTTTCGATTTTAATACAGTGCAATCGTGTTTCTCTTCTCAAAATCGATAATATTAGTGTATGTACATAAAAATTTTTTGCACCAACGCGGTGGATTTTGCATGTTTTTTTTTTCGAACAACACAATTTTAGACCAATTTTTTGTATGGTCAACGACTAATTTTGGCTCATTAGAAGCTAACAGCTCTTGGTCAGAGCAGAATTGCGACTCAGCTAAGGCTCTGCAGCATCGACTTTTTTACTTAGCACACAAGTTTTTCATTAAGACATTATTCTACCAAACTAACGATATGCTTTATTTGGTTATTCATTACATTACTCCTTACCCTCAAGCAGCGCCTTAAATGAAATGCCTTCTCTCATAAATTTTTCATAATTTATATCATCGCAAGCGGGCACATAAAAATGTGTCTATGCAAATTATCAAATATTTTGAAACACTTGCCCGTAAGTATTTATTAATTGTAAACAAAAATTATTAATTGCGTAAACAAAAGTCAAAGCTGGCAGCTTAAGTGCGCTCATTAGCCGCTGGACCATTCACTAAGTTGCTGTGTACATGCTAATGAACACAAAAATTTCGAATTGTTTAGATTGCAAATATAAAATACAGTAGTACCTCGATTCTTGCACATAATGAAAACAGGGCAGGAATTGAGGTTGTCGCAAGTAGCGAGTATTTTTTTTTTGTATGAAATAAAAGGCAATTTTATGAAAGAATTTAGTTGGAAAATAAGTTTATTATTTTTAATATGTATTTTAATTCAATACGCTTAAGTTTAATTCGTTCATATACATAAATATAGAAAGACTCACATACTTTATGTGGAACTAAAAAAATTTGAAATTTTTGTTTGTTTTGTGCAAGCTCGCTTGTTCAGTACTACGCTGCTTCTAAGTCTCTGGAGCGTCATTATTTTGATCAGCCCATTCTAAGAAAATATTGTATGCTGATATAGTCTCCTCCTGTGTAACTTTCTTCGTATTTACTACCACGTTGTTTGTTTCCTCACCATCAGTAAGGTCACAATTGATACAGGGATCTTCATTTTGTTCAAAAGACTCCAAAATAGGTTCAGCAATCCATTGCTCAATTTCAGAATCGGATATTTGCTGCAATGGTTCTATTTCTTGAAGCAAATTTGAAATTGCTTGAATATTGGATGTATCTTCAACAAGCTGTAAGCGTAACTCTGAAAGAGGGATGACATCTTCACTATCCCATTCGGATGTTACCTCAAACATTTTTTGAAATGATGTCTGAATGGAGGTCACATTAACAGCATTCCAGGCATTAGCTAAAAAGCATATTGCGTGTTTTAAGTTGATGTTTCGCAGAGATTCGTCTATTGTTTTTCCACGGCGAACGATGTCACTTAAAAGGCTTGTTTTATAGTTCAATTTCGTAAGTCTTATAACATTCTGGTCCATGGGCTGTATAAGTGCAGTACAGTTTGGAGGAAGACACATTACAGATATTTGACCATCACTACTCATTAACTCGCCGTCTTTGGGATGGCATGGAGCATTATCAATAAGCAATAGAGCCTTTTCGGGAAGATTTTCGGCACGAAGGAACCCTTTTACCTGCAATTTTAGGAAATTTGAATTAATAAACGAAATTTTTTACAAACAAAGATGACCAGATGTACCTCTGGAACAAATGTTTTGTGAAACCATTCCTCAAACAAAGCCAAGGTCATCCAAGCACTTTTATTTCCTTTGTAGACAACTGGAATATCCGTAAAATTGTTAAGTGATCGTGGGTTTAATGATTTCCCAATAACCATTAGTTTTACTCTGTGATTTCCAGATGCATTCGTGCAAGCCAGAAAAGTTATTCTTTCCTTACTGCCGTCCCTAAATTGGAGCGCTAAGCGTTGCGTTATCCATTGTCGACGAGTGTCAGCGCGCGCTATCCCCAAATCAACGCGTCGTAATTTTTGACGTTTTCTCAGATCCTCTCGTTTTTATTCTCGTTTCCTCTTTCACTTTTTTGTCCTTTCTCTTTCTTTCCGTCTTCCGCATCCAACTTCAACACGTAACGCCCTGTCAAAAATGAAAATTCCATTTGCTCGGCGTTAGCGCCGCGTTATTGTGGGATGCTTCATACAAATTGTATGGGCATGAGGATTTTTGACAGTTGTTTGGCGCTTGACGCGCCAATTTAGGGATGGCAGTTACTGATTTTATGTCCTGGAGCGGAAGTTTCTTTTGACCGCACAAGAGTTCTATCAGGCAAAAGCTTCCAAAAGAGACCAGATTCATCGGCATTGTATATCTGGTCCTTGGTCAAACCTAAATCAGCAATTTTTTTGTTCAGTTTTTGTAAAAATGGATTAACTGAGTGAGTCTTATTCGAAAGTTTTTCTCCACATATTTTGAGTCTTCGTATTCCATATCTTTTTTTAAAGTTTGTAATCCAACCATTGCTAGCATGGAAGTCCCCCGATTTTTCCTGAATTTTGGCATGGAGAAACTTGGCCTTTTGTTTAAGCATATCAGAAGTGATTGGTAAATTCTTGGCTCGTTGATTTGCAAACCATTTCATCAATGCTCTTTCCATTTTAGGAAGCTCTGCAGGTTTAAACGTTTTTCTCTTCCCAGGACCAGATTCAGCATGCGCCAGGAACTTCCTTATGGTGTTCTTCTTATTCTTAATGCGGTTTATTGTTGACCTGTGCACGTGAAAACTTTTGGCTAAGGCATCGATAGAAAATCCTTCACTTAGCTTCCTTAAAATTTCAGCTTTTTGCTTTATTGTAAGCAACGTAAATTTTTTCCCTGCCATTGTGTGACCGCACTCAATGAAACGTCCGTTAAAACTG